TATTCTCGTAAATATATATATATATATATATATATACATATATAAATTTTCTTTCTGTATTTATTGTATTTATTTTTGTTGTATTTATAAATTATTTTTCTATTTCTATATGCCGGGAATACTGGAAATATTCTTTGCGAATTATACGAGCCTTCAACGAGCAAGAAATTTCGCGAACAAGTAAGAAACAACAAACTTTTGACTCCATTTGAAACGTTGACAAAAAAGTACAGTTTTCCTTTCTTCATGGTGAAAATTTTACAGCAAACAAATTATTTTTATAATTATTGGATTACATACGAGTTCGGTAATCTGATTATAATTATATTTTTGATAGGAATGATATAAACAGATGTTAAGATCTATTTGAAATTACGTATAATACCAAGAATTCGTATACAATTTATTATAAATAATTTTAATAGAAAAAAAAAAAAAAAATACTTTTTTAAAGATCTTGCAATTTGTTTTCTTAATTTCAGATTCGTGTTTTTATGTTTCAATTAATACGAAATCGTTTGACGTTTACTGCCTGCGGATTTTTCGATTTGGATCATACATTTTTATACAGCGTAAGTTTGTTATATTATAATTATGTCTCGTTTAAATTTTCTTTTTTATCATTGTAGAAATATTCGAATTTTTATTAATTTTGTAGGTAATCGGTTCCATTACAACATATCTCGTTATTCTTATTCAAGTTGGCGATTAACCTAATATATATTATAACAATACGAATGACAATTCAACATCTAACAATACATTTAACAATAGTTGAATAAATTAAAAATTTGTTTTTTTTTTCTTTTTTCATACGACAAAATAATGTATCCCATGCAATATAGATAATAATTGATATAGATAAATAATATCATACATATTTTCAATTATTCTTATTGCTATTATATTTTGACACCTATTCGAATAAATAAAAAAAAAGACATGAAAAATGTATGAAGAAAAAGGAAGAAAAGATAAAAATCTTTATTATATAAACAATGTATGTATAGTATATATAACGGGTAAGAAATTAATACTCGTAAGTGGGTTCTCATCAACGATCGCAGGAAAAAGGGAGTCATTCTTTACTAATACTAATGCAAACTGCTTAGGTAAGAATAATATCCAAGAGGAAGGTGTGATAAGATATAATATATGTGATGAGTTATGGCAAAGCAAGTAGGGTAGTACGACATCAATACTCTACGAGAAATGTTCTACGTTTTGTTTCGTATCTATGAATAATTACAAAAAAATAAAATATATATTTCTATCGGTGTGTGTGAATTAATTAGTGTCACACCTTAGATGAGAAAGGAGAATAAAGAAAAGAAAAAAAAATATTAAATAAAGTTGACATTTCGAAAGAATAATTGTGAAAATGTTTTTGTTTTCAAATCGAAAAATGAATTTTCGACAAAGTTTCAAACCATTGATAATAATTAATTCGATATTTTCGACCGGTTTGATAGAATATTTTATCGATTATAAAATTAACGTGATCGGTTTGATTTACGTTACAATTGGTATTATTTTATACTTTGTCCTGGCATACGTATTTACTTTTAATTTTATGCTGATCGATAATACGCAAGAGACACTTGTACGATGGTTGTATAAATTATGCGTTGTTAATAATTTCGTCTTTTATATTGTTGCAATTACGGCAGGKGTTCTAAGGCGAAAGGTAGAAAATTATTCGTAATAAATATTTGCTTGCGTGATAACTTGTGTTATATTTTTTGACAGGAAATAAGACGATTAACAATACAAATAGAAACTTGTACTAGATCAATGGATCAACTTAATATACCGATGAATTTGTCGAAAAGTTTTCGACAACAGTGTTTTATAATATTATTTGTTATTGTTAATTTGATATTTATGTTTATCATAGATTTTCCTTTTATAAAGTTATCCGTAAAAAGTTATTGGAAATTGTGCATTTGTTTTTATTTAGAACGTTATCCGTGCATCGTATTGTTAATCAACGATCTTACTTTTGTATTTTGGATGAGGCAAGTAGTTTAATTTATTTAAAAAAAGCAAAAATGCAATTTATATATTAATAAATTTCGATTAATTTCAAATGTTAAATAGGTATATAAAAAGGAAATTAAATGAATTGAACGAATTATTAAAAAGTATGTTAACTACGAGTATCGATTCGCCGCAACATAAAAAAGTACTTGAAATAAATAATAAAGGTAATAATAATAATAATGATTTTGTGTCATCTGGTATTTATCGAACGTATAAATCCAACGAGGAAGTTATTAGGATGAAAAAAATTCGGTAATTATTATACATTTTATAATTATTTCTTATATATGCACTGTTCTTTTATCGTATTCTTTCTTTTATATTATGTACATTCATTAAAATATCTGTTTAATATAGGGAAATACACTTAGAATTAATCAAATGCGCTAGAAATGTAAACGACGCATTTGGAATACATATTTTAATGTCAATATCAACGGCATTTATTTTAATAACTATTGTTGCATATAATCTGTACTATCATATCATTAGTGGAAATTTTCGTTCAAATATTTATGAGACACTTGCGATTTATCATTGGATTATTTTTTTTTCCATCAAGATCATCTTAACTTGTTATATATGTACGAAAACTATCACCGAGGTATCTTTCAAAAAATCTATTCAAAAAATTATATTACAAAATGAAATATTTAACAACATTTGTATTCATTTTGTATCATTTCTGTTTACATGCAAAAATTACCGGAGATATTTTATGCGAATTGTACGAACCGTCAATCACTAAGGAACTTCGTGCTGAGGTATTTTAATTAATAATTATATATTGCATATAGATTATTAATTTTTCTGAATCATCGTAGATTCGTGAATTTATTATACAACTTATACAAAATCCACTTTTATTAACAACCTCTGGTTTTTTAATCTCGATCATACATTGATAAGTAATGTACGTTGCAATAATATTTTACTAATTCATTTAATAATTGACTTATATTATTTACAAAAAAAAACTATTATTTATTATTTTTAGGTAATCAGTACTGTAACAACTTATCTCGTTATTCTCATTCAAGTTGGTGATAAACCTAAAATTAGTTTTAAAAATAAAAACAGTAATTCAACGTTGTGACGATTTAATAAGAAAAAAATCAATGAATGATGAAAAGAAAATGAATAAGTTTTAATATGGAATTCTATATAAATACCGATATTAACTTAATATTATATAATAAATTTCATTTAAAATCTTATATAGTTTTATGTTAATATTATTTTTTAATTCTTTGAAACGATATAATGTATTATTTGACACACATGTTTTCTGTGTCAATCCAAAAGAAGAAAAAGAAGAAGAAGAAAAATAAATAAAAAATGAAAATTAAAATAAAGAAAAGAAAAGTGAAACGTCAATTGAATCAATAATAAATAATTAATTATTTTATGCATAGTTAGAAGTTAATACTTTTAAAGTGCCTATAATCGAATGATTGATAACACAATGATGAAAAGTAGTTCTTTTCTTTTTCAATCATAATTAGTGCGAAGTAATAGGTTTTCAGCTGGCATATGTGTAACATCAAAACTCTACAAAGAATATTCATCATTTACGTTTTTTCTTAAAGATCTTTGAATATTAAGTTTTTTTCTATAACTGTGTGTTTAAAATAATTAGTGTTTATAACAACAAAAACAACACCAACACAAAAACAAAAATAAAAGAATAAACAAAGTTAAATTTGGAAGATTACTTAGAAAAATGTTTCTATCGGCAGAATTTCGACGTAGCATTAAACTATTGATAATAATCAATTCGGTTGTTGTAACTGGCTTAGTTGAATATTTCGTCGATTATAAAATAAACGTGATCGGTACAATTTATCCATGCTTTTCTGTCATTTTTTACACAGTAATGAACAAGGTATTTGAATATTCAGAGGACATAAACGCCTCTAATAAATTTTTTTTATTAAAAATCGTGAGTTCGACATATTTTTTCATCAATTACACATCTTACTTTTCTATCATGATGACTGGGATATTAAGAAGAAAGGTAAATTAATTCGTAATTTTAATTTTTTTAAATTCAATCAAAATTTTTATCTTATATTATATATTATCTTTTCTACATTATCTAGAAAACTAGATATTTTATGTTACAATTAGAAACGTGCATAAGAAAAATGGATCAATTAAATATACCAAGAAACTTTTCTAAATATTTTTGGCAACAGTGTTATATATGTTTAATAATTGCTTTCTTTACAATAATTATGTATGTCATCGATTACCACTGGTTAATATTTTTAAAAAATTATACCTGGGGAAGACTCTTTTCATGTTTTTTGTATCGTTATCCAACTTTCGTTTTATTTGTTGCCGATTCAACTTTCATATATTGGATGAGGCAAGTAAATTGTTTAAACTAATCGTAAAATAAATCGAACACCATGTTTATAATCACATTTAAAAGGGACGCTCTTTTTTAAAACATAGGTACATGAAAGTGCAATTTAATCAATTGAATGAATTGTTAAAAAGTATGTTGACTACCAGTATCGATTCGCCGCAACATAAAAAAGTACTTGGAATAAATAATAAAGGTAATAATAATAACAATAATGATAATACCAGTGATTTTGTATCGTCTGGTATTTATCGAACATATAAATCTAATCAAGACGTTAATAAGATGAAAAAAATAAGGTAATTAATTTTACATATTCGATTGAATGTATAAGAAGTAAGTGGATGCAAGTAATTTTATATTTTTTTTTTTATTTGACATAAGTGCATGACTGTAAACCAAGTGTTGTTTAGTTTTATCTCGAAACTTTAAAAATAAAACAGACACATATTCATCTCAAAATTAATCACAAATTCTACAGGTATCTACTTCTTTTGTTTTTTTTTTCATATCATTAATATTATAATTAGCAATTTTATTCAAGTATTATTATATATTTATTTATATATGTTATATTATATATTTTGTAATGTACATTTTGTAATTTTTCAGGGAAATACATTTAGAATTAACCAAGTGTACTAAAAATATAAATGATGCATACAACTATCATATATTAATGTCAATATCAGCAGTATTCATAATGATCATAATGGCGGGTTACAATGTGTATTATTTTTTAATGACCATGAACTTTCATTTATCAAGTTTATATCTATTTACTTTTGTATTTTGGCTGACTTTTTTATGGATAAAAATAATTTTAGTATGTCACGTATGCGAAGATACTGCGACGGAGGTA